GAGAAGAATGCATTAGCAATTTCAGCTGTAGCACACCACTTGGCTGCTTTTGACTCCAATGAATACTAGAGTTCTAGCATGTCTGATACAGCAGCACTCGGTGGAGGTGTGACTTCATTTAGGCCACAGTAGTCTACCATCAGCCTCCATTCTCCACTGGCTTTATGCACTGGCCATATTGGGCTCTCAAAAGGTGAATCAGTTTTGCTGATTAATCTCTGACTCTCTAGTTGATGAGTCAACTTATGAATGGGGAACAAGGAATCCCTGTTGGTGTGGTACTGATGTCTGTGCACCATTTTTGTACAAATCAGTACCTGTTGCTCTTCCACTTGTAGCAACCCCACAAGAGACAGATCTTCTGACAGGCGAGGCAAAACAGACATCTGCTTAACATCGTCTGCATCTACAGCAGCTATTCCAAAGGCCCACCAATACCCCTTGGGATCCTTAAAATAGCCTCTTTTGAAGCAAATGACACCAAGTATACATGGTGCCCCTGTGCCAGTCACAGTAGGATCTTTTGCCAGTCTTGACTAGTGAGGCTTATTTCAGCCTCCAACACAGTCAGCTCTTGGGAACCCCCAGTCACCCCAGAAATACAAGTTGATCCTGCCCCTTCATGACTCAAGGGCATTAGAGTGCACTGTGCACCAGTGTCCACCAGTGCTTCATATTTTTGTGGTTCTGATGTGCCAGACCATTGAATACATGCAGTCCAATATACTCTATTTTCCCTTTCCTTCCCCTGGCTTGAGGCAGAGCCCCTCTAATTGTTACCTCTGTCATTCTTCTCTTGTGATTCATGATCAGGATTCTTACAGCTCTTGCCATGTCCCACAGCAACTGGAACAATTGCCTTCGTAGAGGAGTTCACCTTGGCAGTTGATTTGTTTTGTAATTCTTTTTCTTTTATAGAGTAGGAGTGGGTTTTTTATGCCACTTCTTCATATCTTCTCCATGCTCACATTGGTAACTCCAGAAAGCAATACACAACGTAGTATTACCATTGTCACTTGCTCGAGCAGGAAGACATCTGCTTTTAATAGCTGAGATATTGGATGATTTAGTCAGGGAGCAAATCAGTTTGATCAGCCCTTTCAGTAGACTGTTTTGATAATCCTGATTCTCATCAGGTGTCTCTGATACCACCTCAGCTTCATCAGGTTCATCATGATTAAGCAAGGTAGACAGTTCCTCTGTCGTATCTTTATGTTTACTCTGCATTTTATTCAGTCTTACAGTTACTTTTGAAATGGCTGAAATATAAGCTTGTGGAGGGGCTAAATGTTGTTCAGTGTTATGAAGTCTATTCATCAATATAAATGAAATGGGTTGTCTTCACCCTCTCTCATGCATTCCTGGTGTACCAATGTACTTCTCTGGTACAGTTCTTGTGAATTTTTGCCACATACTTGGTGCACACGTGACTCTCTCAGGATCATGATCTTGGTGTGGATTGTCAGGAATAAACATGGGGTCGTGTAACACTTCCACCACAGGTAATTCTCTCCAATAATAGATGTCTTTTTCCACAGTAGTCCATTTCTTTATCTTAGGCATCAGATCTTCTTTGGAGGGGTGTTTTTCCTCTAGGGCTAATAGCATTCACCTCCAGAGGGTGAATGTCCCATCCTGATATCTACTAATTCCTTTGTCAATAGCTGAGTCCTTAGCAATACTTCCCAGCTGGCAAGCTTCTCTACCATCTAGCAACACACTATTGGCCCCAGTGTCCCAACATCACAGTAACCAGTTGGGTTCATTTGGGTGCCGTACAAAATCTTTTCCTGACCTTGAATTTCAGTCATTTTCAGAGGTTGGGTACTAATAATGGTCACAGTGTCTTCCTCACCTTCTTCTTCTTTTTAGTTTTTGCTGTTGCCTTAGTTAATGTCGGTGACAGTGGTCTTGTTCAGGGCCCCTCCCCTAGATCTTCTTCCTCTTCTTTCTCCTTCTTTTCATTCTAAATGAGGTAACATCTGTTTCAATTTCTTATAGGGGCAATTGACATTGATACTGGTGCCTCCTGTGGTTGATTAGACTTCAGTTTTTATGCTCTTTCTCTCTAGCTCAACTCATTCATAGTGGAGTCTGGAGCTTGGAAACTCTTTTGCTGAATTTGGAGATTCTCTTTCTCAATCTGGAGACTTCCTTTCTTGACCCAGAGATTCTCTTTCTCAGTTCAGACTTTCTCCTGGAAACTCTCCCTTTTGGCTCAGAAACACATTTGGATTTTGTGTTGAGGGACATGCTTTAGTGAGTACTATTGGTGATAGGTGGATGGTTGGACTGGATGATCTTGAAGGTCTTTTCTAACCTTGGTGATTCTGTGATCCTGTGATTCTGTTATCCTGTGATTCTAACATCCCTGGTATAGTGTTGAATGAGGCTTGATAGGCATAAGCCAGGCCCCAAATAATTTGCATCTCCTCAGATTTATTGAGCCACAACACGCCTGTCTTAGATACCTGCTTAGATTCTTAGGATCTTGAAGGTGTTCAGGAGTAAAATTCCATGACACCGGGGATGCCCATCTCTCTAAAGTCTCTCTCAAGTCCCTCTGCACTCCCTGCCACTCAGTATTCTCTGGCTTTGGGGAAGGCTTCCTCAAATATTTCAAGTAAAGATACTGAGTGAGATGACAAGGAATGCATTCAGGGAGATTGACAACATGATCACTGAATGAGCATTCAAAAAACATATAAGGGATTCAAGGGACAGATTGGAAGCCTGTTTTAAAATCACATGTTCTGTAAAACCAGAAACTCCATCTGGGACATAGCTTTCAATGCTCAAAACATACCACAGTGTATGCAGGCACCAGATAGGTGTTTCCACTGGTACTTCTAACTTTTTATATATGTATACAGCTCCATAGAGCAGAGTGGAGGACTTGATAAAGTCTAGTACATTCTAAGTGTTAAGAGGATGAACATGATGGAATGTAATCTCTTGAAGAACAGTTTTACAAGAGAAAGAAAGTACATTTTGTCTCTTTATAAAAACAAGTTGACACAGTGCCAAAAACAACAACAAAAAAAAATTGGTGCAATTGGCAGTCCACCTAGAAATCAAGGATTGTAAACAAGATAAGCTTTCTAACAATGCTTTCCGAGAGTTAGAGCTCAGAGAGTTTTGCATTAAAAGTTTGTTTTTCAAGCCAGTGCACCAAAAATATCACAGTTAGGCCCAGTTCAGCCTTGTTCTGTGACTGAAGTGGCAAATGGACCCATGGACTCACACCCCAGGAAAGGGGAAGGGAAAAGACAGGGAGATAGGCCCAGATGAGGAAAACAGTAAAATAAGCTAAGGAAAAACTAATTTACTAAAATATGATAGTGGAATGAAAGATAATACAATATAATACAGTGTAATTGGAATTGATGCTAATAAATCAAATAAAATGAGAGTGTCCAAAACTGTAGGCCTTACTCTAATGTTGTAGGCAATACTGCCAGGGAGCACACCAAGCAAAATGGGCAGAAAAAGAGAAACAGTCTCATGACTCCCAGTCAGTTTCATCTTTCCCTCTGAACAGAAAATGGAAATGGAATAACGAAGTCTTCTGGGAGCTGCTGTTCATTCTTCTCTTCTGAGACCAGGTACCTGGAACTACTGATAACCCATGGAACTGCAGCATTAACTCTTTAACTCGGAGTATGCTACATGATGTTATGACATAGAAGACTGATCCAAAATTATAAAACAACAACACAGCTCCAGTGAAGAAAACTGACTTTATCCCAGCCAAAACAAGGACATCACGAAGGATCAAAGTTTGCTTTGTACTTCAGCAATTGTTTAAGGCAGCTAGATTCAGCTGCTTTAAGACAGTGTTATTTTATTTGTATTTTCTCCACCTGTAAAAGGGAAGAACTTTCTTGGCTCATAGCTCATAGGAAGCATACAGAGTTTACACAACCAATTAGCTGCTTTTGCAGCAATCATTTAGGAGTTCTTCATCTGAGCACCAAAGTCAACAAGGTCTTTTCTGTAAAAGGTAGACAAGGGCATGTATGTAAGTGACTTAAAAATGCCCTCAGTTCAGGCAGATTCTGGAAGATAAAATACCAACAGTTAAATTTATCTGATAAATTTTCAAAATGATTTTGTCAAATACTGGAACATTGAATTGATGGCAGAATATTCCCATTGCTACAGCAGTACAAGTATGTTTTATCAGATTATTTAGGATAAAAAAATAAGAACTTTTTTTTCCAAATGTGACTAGCACTTAACTAAAGCTTCATGGCTTACACAAAAATACAGCATTTTAAGTTTCTGTGTTATTAATTGGTTGATGATTAATTGAATCATCTATATCAAGCCTTCAATTTCTGCAAAAAGACTGACATTTAGAGTGTAAGTAGGACTTATGCTAATGAATTTGAGCTATGAACTCAACTAAATTCTTCTAGAGTTACTTCTTGCACCATTTAGGGGATTCCTGCAATGAGCAAGAAGGGGATATACGTCAAAGTGTCCAGAAGAGACAGGAAAGATTTTTGGTCAAAGGTGTATCAAGCACTATGACAAATTTCTTACTTACACATGCAGAAATTCCAACTACTCATGATTAAGAGCATTCTGGAAAACAAAGAAGCTTTTTTGGCCTCTAGGAATGCTCTAGAATTGGTAACGTTGCATCTGCATACACCATATGTATTGGGAAAAGACAGATACACAATATTCTTCCTTCTTTCAGGGTTATGGTTTATCCTTCTGGACAACTTACAAGGTTGTTCTGTTTTATGACACAGAGTGTTTTCCTATACATTTCTACGCATTCAGATTCAGAGGCTTTTAAATATAAACAAATGAGAATTCCATGAACTTCCTTCACATTGTTCTCCAGTTGCTGAAACTTTTGTTTCTGAAGTTTAACCAAAATTTTTTATAGATGGAGATAATACAGAACTGGGAGCATTCCATACAGCATTTATCCATTTAATAATTAAAGCGTCTACTGACTCATCTCTGATTCAGCAGAGATAATCCACGTTCTTCTTTTTGAGTCATAAGCTGGATAACCAATAGTGATTAAATGAAGAAAATAATAACAATAAGGAGTGCTTTTAAAATGCATTCCAATTTAGGATTTCTTAACACAGTTTGCCTCACGGGGATGTTGTTAATCACTATCACTGATACAGAAAGCTAGTACGTGCTAAAGCTACTCTAGAGCTACATGTTATTTATATCTTTGAGCATGGGAAAAAAGAAAGAACCCTTTACTGAAACATGTTCCATGTGATCTGTTAATATGATGTTCTTTCAATCCATCTTCAAGCTCCCATCTCAGAATAAACTGCTAAAGCATCAAATATAAATGTATTATTAAAAAGCTGCTATATTTCATGTATTGCCCGCAGTATGATACTGTTTCTTGCCCTGTGAATAACATGGAAGAGCCTGAGCCTTCAAACTCATTATTCTCCTTTTAGAATTACCACAGTCCTCAAAACTTCTCACGCCTACAGTACCTCTCTCTTCTTGGTTGAGACAATGAGTTCAAGGAAGGATTGATCTTCAGCCCAGGAGTCAATCTCTGTGAGATCATACAGCACAGTGGTCAAGGGGCCAAAGGACCAGAGATTATGCTTTCGCCTTTGCATGAGGTATTGAAACATCTGAGGAGAAAAGAAGGGAATCAAGGATTATAGAAGCCTTCCAGTAAATATTTGTTCTCACTGCAAATACACTGAAATTGTTAGAATTCTGCATTACAAAATATTTTCCTTTAACTTAGCTGTGGTTCTCACATCTCTCTCTTCCATCAGCTTAAGAATGGGAAGAGCTTTTTTCCTGATCCATCTGATTATTAGTTTGTGCTTCAAGTAAAGTATAAAGCTGCCTGCATTACAGCTGTGTAGCACAGATATTCTCCCAGACATACCAAAAGTAAGCACAGCAGTGTCTGACAGGCTTAAGAGTCCCATTTTGCTTTTGCAGCCACACACAGAGATTCCACTAAAATAAGAGGGACTGCTTGAAGTTATGTCAGATCTGAAACTGAGGAGAAAATGTTGTGTTTGTATGCTTTGGAAGCAAAGATGTAGTCATCCTTAACACTAGTCACACTGATGAACTTGTTTGAAGTAGTCATGTCTCCATATAAAAGATTTTATGTGGATATGTTGATTAGGGAAAAAAAATCCTTTTATATTTTTCTACAGATCATCAGAAAAGAGATATATGAAAAAGGAAATCATATTGTCCTTTGTGAATCTACAGAAGAAACACTAACCACCTCTGTCTTTTTATTAAAGCAAAGGATGAGGATTTATATTGAGATCTTGCATAAAAACAAATGTCTGCAGATATCTGGAGAACTCCCCCGTGTATCATGTTTATGGAAAACGAAATAGATAATAGAAACAACTTCAGTCAGACTTTTAAAAAAGGCTTTGGGTGGATCTTTCTGCTAATAAACTGGTTAACTGAAAAGCTTCAAAAATTGGATCAAAAGAGCTATCCTTTAAGCACGAGTTTTTCTCACTAAGATAAAGAAATTTCTTAAACAGGCTTTTGGGTCTTATACGAGACTTCAACCCACTAAGAGTGTGTACAAACTCCCTTGTTCAGGGTGATGTTATTTCAAGTTCTCTGCTTCTGAATAAAGTCTTTAATATGGAGGCAACAGTGTCACAAATAAACTTACCACAGTGTTCCCCTCAACTCCAGCCAGTTTGAATGGAGTAAGCCCCTCATTGTTAGGAATTAATTCAAGTGGTCTTGGTCCCTCTTTGGTCTGGTCGTAGGAAAGTATCAGGCTGTACATGCGGCAGGCAAATGTCTTATTAGGCTGGAGAACTAAGATGTGGAGGATGGTGTTACCTGTTAAATAATCAGAATGGGTAAATACATAGGTTACTCTGAAAATAATGCCTTCTACTTATTTCCACGAAAACTACCACAAGTGCAAAGAGTAAAATAACTCTAAAAGAGCAAATTATCATCTGCAGAATGCCATTCTTCAATACAGACACCACCATTAGCTGTGCATTTTCACCAGCAGTGAAGAAAAGCCTGTATGCCATGCTCATAAAAATCTGCATCACAAGAGGTAACCCACTATTGCTGCTGCCACACCTATAAAACACCACCCACAACCTCACTGTGCTCACATCCACTGTTTAGTCTCCACTGTTTGGTTTAACAAGCATCAGTGAATGTCAATGGGTGCCGTCTTTTTCTTCATGGAGGAATTCAATGGCGCACCTTTCCTTCATGTGAACTTCCATGTCAGAAACCTTTTTGTCAGACTGCTCTTCTCCTGCCATCTGTCACACAGCAACAAAACATAATGGAATATTGGTAGGAAGGTTGAACTTTTCCTGCCATACCACAAACATCTGCTGCTGATTTCATGGCTCAACATCATGAAGTTAGAGGCATTACTTTTGGAGCAGTCCTTACATGTTGAATAACAACTCTGTAGAAAGACTGGCAATTGCCTGATGGCATTAATAATGGCTTTCATTTTCCTCATATCCTTCATTTCAACTGTGTTTTTAGTGAGGAAAAAATACTTAAGTACACAGATCATGGAATCATACAATGGCTTGGTTTGGAAGGGACTTCTAGAATCATAGATCTCCAACCCCCTGCCATGGGCAGGGTTGCTACCTACCAGATCAGGTTATCCAGGACCTCATGTAACCTGGGCTTGAATACCTCTCTGGGCAGCTTGAACCAGTCCCTCACCACCCTCTCAGTGAAAAACTTTTCACTGACTAACATCTAACCTAAATCTCCCCTGCTCTAGTTCAAAATCATTCACCTTGTCCTATCACTAACTACTGCTGTAAAAAAGTTGATTTCCTTCCTGTTTATAATATCATTTTAAATACAGGAAGACTGCAACAATGTCTCCCCAGAGCATTCTTTTCTCCACACTGAACAAGCTGATGGAGTCTGGTTTAAAATGTTCAATGTATGCAATTCACTAGGCACGTACCCAGGTAATCCTGAGCTCTAATGTCAGCTCCATTTTCAATGAGCAACTGTACAATCTCCTCATTTCCCACACAGGCAGCAAATGACAAAACATGTTCTCCTGCAAAGAAGGGGATGGAGGAAACAATATTAAGTCCCTAGCATGTGAGTGAGGCTGAAGTATGGTGAGGGGAAATGATCCATGTCACAAAGCTATAAAAGGAACCTGTAAAAGTAACCTATGAGATTTCTGGCCCACTACTCATCATACTCAGAAAGGACCAAAAGACTGTAGAAATTAACATTATATTTTTTATGCAATATATAATGTTTGTATACATGCAAATATGTAAAATGTTTTCAAATAATATATTTTTATTAATGTAGTATTTACAAACTCAGATGAAGCTTTACTGTGAGACAGAAGTGTGCGAATGATGACCCTCGAAGACAGAAGCCTTTGCTTATACAGTTTAAACAGGAACTGAAACATGCCTCCCTCATCACTCTTTTGGCTGCTTCTCATAGCAACAAGGAGAGAAGAAAAGAGAAGGATGTACCAAAATAGAGAAGGTTCTGGGAGCTGCGCCTGAAGAAGTGCCCAGTGGCCTGTGCTGTGCAGATATTTGCCCCTCTCTTGAGCAAAGCCTTCACCAAAGTGATATTCTGGTTCACTGCTGCAATGTGGAGAGCTGTCTGCCCTGTAAAACACAGATACAAAACCTTGTCCTCTAAGAAGTTAACTTCAGGCTGATCAGCAGCCTGCAGTTCACACTCAACACATGTTAAATACCAGTTTTGGGAAATTGTATCCATAGGACTAATACGGATTAGCTTTCAGGTTATTGCTGTGGACTAGAGACTAGTGGTCTTGTGAATTCATGAAAAAAGATTTTACAGTCTGCTAACTAAACCAGCAGGATGCACTTTCTGCACGTTGGGGTTTTTGTTCGTTTGGAGAGATTTTGCAGGTAGGGTTATTTTGGGTTATTTTGCAGGTAGGAATCAGTCTGGAAGGACTTAATGAGACATGAAGAGTGCATCAAAACCAAGTTCCCAAACTTTCTCTAATCCTTCAAACTAGATATTAGAAGTTTTAAAACCCCCTAATTACTATTTTAGTGATTTCAATACACTCTGAGATAGTTCTGGACAGTGAAACAGAATCACATAAGAAACTCTAGGTTTTTTAAAAATTGCTCTGACTCAAAACTCAGTAACAGCAATTAAGATTGTTTTTAATCCCTATTATTTGCCAGCAAAAGAATCAGTTTTTGTCTTTTCAAAGAAGATCAGGCAGGGAACTCTTCTGTCACACAATCTGGTTTGTCTATGGCAGAAAGCAAAGCTGTACACATCGTTGCCATCCCGCTGTAGTGAACAGACCCACCAGTACTTTGCGAGTTACGCATTTGAGTACTTGCACAAGCTGGTTTTAATATAAAGCCACCTTCCACAAAGGGTCAGGAGCTATTTGTATATTGCTTTTGCAGTGTAACAAAATTTAGTAATTTAGTAACATATTGAACCAGGAACAGTATATTCCAGTTTCCTGAATAGAAACAATTACAACCTCCTCTCTCCCCTTGCAGAGAAACCTCTCCATCCCCATTCTTTGAGATGTTACCTTCATAGAGTTCTGATGTCATCCTTTCATTGACAAGCTCCGGAGCTGCTTCCATCAGAGCCAGTGCAGCCTCCACATTATCATACAAGGCAGCTACATGGAGGGCAGTCTCCCCTACTGCACCTAGAAACAGTAAAGTAAGCACGTGAGTCATCTAGACATTCAGCAATACAGAATAAAAGCAGACATAGATTTATTGGGGTGGAGGGTTATGGGTATTCCCAATCTTCCTTTGAGTGTTGCCAGGTGCCACTTTGTCATACAATGTGGTGACAGTCACTCCACCAAAACCCAAATGCTGAACAGAAACTTCAGGTGTTTGTGAGCGCCATGAACTGAAATGAGTACATAGCCCTTCCACTGCCCACCTGCCTCTGTAAAACACATCCTTCAGTCCCTCTGTAAAAATAGCCTCTTCAAGTTGTAAAACTCCAATCATTACCAACTGTTTATGACTTGAGTTAGAGAACTCATTTTATTGCAAAGCTGCTGACATAGATTTAAGTCATTTGATTCTGCCAGTGAGAACGTTGCAGTAAACTAGCTTACATACTACTATGCTCATTGTTTCAGGTTCTTGCTTTTCCCCAAAAAACAATTCAGAGAAAATAATGAGTTACCTCTCTGATAAATATCACATGTTTCATCAGTGAGAAGTTTCATAATGACTGGGATGTTGTTCTCCTTGGCAGCCTGAAGGAGTGGGGACTCACAGATCCTGCAGTGAAGTAAAAGTGGCTTCTAAGGAAGGCAGACAAATATATGGCACCTCTTTCCAGAATATTTATTGAGACAATATGAATGATCAGTTTTTTCCTTAAAGACTAGTAATGCATATTTATCAGCTGAGGTGTTTTTGAAGGAAAGGAAGGAGAGGGGAGGGGAGAGGAGTGAAAGAAAGGGGAGGGGAGATGTTTATACATATGTGTGTGGTTTATATATGGTCTATATTTTGAGGCTCAGAAGGCAGAAAATGATGAATCAATGAGTCGTGATATCCTTCCTGCAGTAAGCTAGTTATCTCAGGAGCTGGGAGGGGGAGGGAGAGGGAGAAGTGGTTTTTTTATATACAATTAAAAACATTTTTAAAAAATGCTGCATTCAAATGGATGGAAAAGATATAAACAAGAATTCACTGTTATGTCTTAACAAGGCTTCTTATGGTGTAGCTTAACTACGCTATTTTTATCTCCGATGCTGAGAAAATTGAGGAAACTAATGAGAGCTGAAATATATTCCAGTTCTAGGAAAGAGCATGCCATCAAACAAGTTTCAGACCAAATAATTCACTTATATTTGGAGAATACCCATGGTTCTTCCACCAGACTCTAGGTTATTTTAGTAGACCCTTTGGATTTGATTAAGAATTTGCAAGCACAGTCACCACACTTCACCCCAGAAAGGCCTGCTGACACGAACAGCAGATTGAGAGAGGTGATCCTTCTTCTCTATTCCACACTGGTGAGGCAATATCTGGAGTCCTGTGCCCAGTTTTGGTCTCCTCATTAAGGAAAACATTCTAGAGTGAGTTCAGAAAAGGATAATGAAGATGATTAAGGGACTGAAGCATCTTTCATACGAGGAAAGACTCAGAGAGCTGGAACTGTTTAGAGCAGAGGAGGCTCAAGAGAAATATCATCAAAATATGCAAATATCTCAATGCAGAGTACAAAGAGGATGGAGCCAGGCTGTTTTCAGTGGTATCAGTGACAGGACAAGAGACAATGGGCACAAACTGAAACACAGAAGGCTTTGTTTGTACATCAGGAAGTACTTCTTTACTGTGAGTAAAGAAACAGAGTGCTGGCGTAGATGGTCAACAGAGGTTGTGAAATCTCCATCCATGGTGATAATTAAAAGTTATCTGGAAATGGTCCTGAGCAACCTGCTGTAACTGACCCTGCTTGAGCAAGGGTACTGGAACCAAGTGACCTCCATAGGTCCCTTCCAACCTCAAATTTTCTTTGAGTCTATTGTATCGTAGACAGTAGTTCTGATCATAGAATAATTGGCTCTTGTAATTCAGTGTGGTCCTTGCAGTATTGAAGACTTCTTCAGCTTCTGTCTGACATGACAGTTTCTATAAACTACCTATCTTCAATTGCTGGTAAAAACAGCAAAACATTAATCGCTTAAATTGAAAACCACATCTGCAGGGACTGCTCCAAAAGTAATGCTACCTATGATTCTACAATTCTATTTTATCATGTTGGCCCATGAAATCAGAGGCAGATATTGGTGGTATGGCAGAAAAGGTTGAACATTCCTACCAATGTTCCATTACATTTTGTTGCTGTGCGACAGATGGCAGCAGAGGAGCAGTGACAAGAAAGTGTCTGACATGGAAGTGCGAAGGCGTGCCACTGAATTCCTCCATGAAGAAAAAGATTGTACCCACTGACATTCATTGATGCTTACTAAACCAAACAGTGGAGATCTAACAGTGGATGTGAGCCCAGTGAGGTGACATTTCAGTAGCGGTGACAGTATCAGTGGGTCACCTCTGCAGGTGCAGATTTTTAGGAGAGTGGCAAGCAGGCTCTTGTTCATTGCTGGCAAAAATGTATAGCTAACGGTGGTGACTCTTGTAAGACAGCATTTTGTAGCTGAAAATTTGCTTTATCAAATAATGTTATTGTGCTATTTGTATCTGTGGTAGTTTTCACAAAAATAAATATGAAGCATTGCTTTCAGAGTGATCCGTGTATATTTCTTGCTTTAAATTGCTCTTTTAAATGCAATGCTATAGAATCTTGAGGAAAAAAAAAGGAAAAAAAGAAAAAAGAAAAAGAAAAATATCTTTTACATGCAGTTATACCTGAATTTAATCCAGGTGAAATGTGTGAGCTCTGCAGAGTTTTACACCGGAAGGATAATGATACATCTGGGAAAACTTTAGGGGAAAAAGCAAAACAACCATCCACGCAGGCTACATAGAATAAAATCGTAAATGAATGTTATATTTGTCATTCAGTAAAAGGAACATTTCCTATTACCAACAGCACCCCCTTGACTAAGTCAGTAGGAATTGGCCTAGAAAAACTCTAAAGAACAGGAATTAATGATATAAAGAACCAAACTGAACAAATCAAGGAGCCATTCTGATGCATTTTTTGCATCCTTCAAACTCTTGGCCTTGCTGCTCTGAGAAATATTTCTTTTCATCTGGCAGTTGCAGCAGTTGTTAATTACATGACTTAATTGAATACTGCATCCAGGATCAGACAAACAAGGATAAAATAAAGAGGCACTCTGAGCAAATGTTCTAACATTCATCATGAGTAAAGCAAGCTTGCCACCTCTACCAGTATTTTGGCTGAGGAAGACTAGTTTTCCTAGAGAATGTAATTTTCTCAGACAGAAAGTGGGAAAGAGGCAGGATTTCAATAGCATAAACAATGCTGCAATTAATTTGTTTATGCTTTAGTGGGTAGGCTTTTATCCCTTCAGTGACCTCAGAGAGGAGAAGGATTGGGCAAGAGATAATGTGGGAGAACACAAACACAATACCATTCTCAAAAAACTCTCCAAAGTTCATGTAAATGACTAATTAAATTAAAAGCCTGCTAATTAGACACCTAACAAATACTGTACTCAGCATGCAGAAACTGAGGGCAAAATTGTCAAACAAATGTAATCACTGTAGAGATTACTTGTCTCAGAGAGTTGGAGATTCCAAGACAAATAGCAAGCTGCTGAAGAACACAGACTTGTTGGCAAATATCACAGCAAACTTCCCCTTATGCCCCAAAGACCCATGACTTAGATGTTTATACCATATACTTATACGCTCATTTAATTTTCTGGCCTCTAATTGGGGAAACTTCTTATTCTCATTTAAAACACACCATTGAGTCAACTCCTTTTTAATACATTACCACAATGTGCTGAGTATATAAATGTTGAGTACCTGACAAATTAGCTAATGTATAACAAAGTCACACGAATCTAGAACCTTCAAAGTTATGCACATCCATTTTCTTTATGCCACTAAGCATAGCGTGAATTATTACATGTTAGAACTCTATGTTGTGTTTCAAAGCAGCAGCAACATAAACTGTTAGCAGTTTCTTAACGGAGATTGCTACAGCACGTGCTTAGTTTCCATAAAGTACCATTACACCACTGGGCAGAGAAGGTGTATTTCAGAGAATGATTCAGCAAAGAGACATATTCGGATGCCCTGAGAAGATCATTCAGAACACTCAAATTAAGCTGCTGTTCTAAATTATTGTCTTCTTCAATTACAAGATCAACTGACACCAAGCTCCTAATCTACCCATCTACCCTAGGTATGTAACACTAAGCAGTGCTGATATTGTCTTATACTGTTCAGAATAAGCACAGCTACATACCTAAACAGTAAGTACTTCTGATAGGCAGCACTGGAACAGGTTGTCCAGAGAAGTTGTGGGTGGATGCCCCATCCATGGAAGTGACGAAGGTCAGGCAGAATGGAGCTTTGAGCAACTTAATATAGTGAAAGATATCCAGGCCCATGGAGGTGTGGGAGAGGCAAAAGAGTGAGTGAAACTAGATGATGTTTAAAGATCCTTTCCAACCCAAAACGATTTATAATTACTGTAATTCAATTTTCTTTATAGATGATTCCATTATTTGCTCAGGAAGCTGTAAGTTGTTTTTCAATACAGGTAAGGACAAAATCAGAAACACCCAAAAATCCATTGTGAAACAAATGCAAGGTAGAATGTAGGTCAGATGCTGACTGAAAGAGTCATGTAAAACAGTTTGCAACAAGATTAAGGATTTCACAAACACTCACTGCTGGTAACATGTATACTTTTGGATTTAGGCCTTCCTAATCACTTCTTTTGGAGTCCATCCTGCTCATTGAATTTAAGAAAATATAAAGAATGCAAGAAGAACTCCATAAATATTAACCCTGTTACAAAAACAGGAATTATGATTAATAGGGTTCTTCAAGGCACATTAGGTACAAGCAGATGATCTGAGACATCCAGCATGGCTTTACTGAGGGAAGGTCATGCCTGATCAATGTGGTGACCTTCTACAATGGAGCGACAACATTGGCGGACAAAGGGAATGCAACTGATGTCCTGTACCTAGATTTGTGCACGCATCTGACATGGTTGCCCAACACATCCTTATCTCTAAATTGGAGAGATACAGATTTGAAGGAAGGACTAATCCGTGGATAAGGAATAGGATGGAAGGCCATAGATAGAGTTGTGTTGAATGGCAATATGTCCAGGCGGAGGCCAGTGACAAGCGGTGTCCCGCAGGGCTCTGTCTATGGACTGGTGCTCTTCTCCAGTGACATCAGTGATGGGCTTGACTGCTCCCTCAGCAAGTTTAGCAATGACACCAAGCTGAGTGGTGGGGTTGATACATTAGGAGAAAGTGACACCATCCAGAGGGACCTCAACAAACTCAAAAGATGGGCCCATGTGAATCTAATAAGATTCAACATAGCAAATTGCAAAGTTTTGCACTTTGGTCAGAGTAACCACAAATACATACACAACTGGGAGAATTACTCCTTGAGGGTAGCCCTGCAGAGAAGGACCTGGGGGTTTTGGGGAAGGAGCCAGCAGAGTGCTCTTGTAGCTCAGAAGGCCAGTGGTATCCTGAGCTCCATCAGAAGAGGGGTGGCCAGCAGGGATAGTCTGTCCCTCTCTTCTCTGCCCTCGTGAAGACTCCATCTGGATGGAGCACATCCAGGTCCAGGTCCCCCAACACAGGAAGGATGTGGAGCTGTTGGAGAGGGTCCAGAGGAGGGCCACTAAGATGATAGAAGTCTGGAGCACCTCCCCTTCAAAGACAGGCTTAGGGAGCTGGGCTTGTTGAGCCTGGAGAAGAGAAGGCTGCAAGGACACCTCATTGCAGCCTTCCAGTACTTAAAAGGGGATTATAAACAGCAGGAGAATCAACTTTTTACAAGGGT